CCCGGTTGATTTGATGCACGTCAATTCAACCCTATCGAATCGAAGTGTGTTCTTGAGAGGGAAGATGCAATTGAAAAGGGAAAAACGTATGGAATAAGAATATTTTTCTCGAATAAAGGGATATAGCATGTATATATAGCCTCGGTAGTTATTTGGCGGTTAAAAAACAACCTCTCGGTAGTTATTTTGGCGGTTAAATAACCACCAACGCGAATAGACGCGACTGTTCGGAAACAGTGCGTCGATTTGTCCGATTCGGCCACAACCGTGATGGTCACGAGACCCCAAGCTAAAGCCCAATCCAAAGACTTTAGTTGATATTGATAAGGTTTATGATCTTACCCTTATAAACCATTCATTTTTTTCTTTTCTTTCCTATGTGGGATCAATTCCTATGGGAAAAATCCAACAGTTATTACATTATTGCTATAATTGTGTTCAAATAATATATGTAATACATTTTTATTTTGTTTTTTCGATTTTATTTTATAAATATGTATGATTTTGAAAAGCTATAGATCTAGTATATTATGTTAGTGCTCGGTCTTATGGAGTATTTAGCTGTATTAGTATAACTCATTACTTATCTTATGTTTAAATATATTTTATCAGTTGGTTATGAGTTAGTTTTATAAAGTTTAAACGTAATAGTAAATTATGCATATAGTATAATAAGTTGTATAATATAATATAAATATTCTATAAATACACATCTATGAACACAATATGTTTATGAACGACTTATGGTTATGCACACATTCTTACGAACACCTATGAACCATATGACCACATTCGTATGAAACCTTATGTTATGAACACCTACAAATATTATTAAATACCATAAAAGTAACTTACACATAAAAATTTGTAACATCTCATTAAATACCGTAAAAGTAACTTCCATATAAAAAATTACCTATTTGTCCTTCATCATTAAATCAAACATTTGAAGTAACCTCTACAAATAATTAATATTATTGGTCCAATAAGTTTACGAAGTTAATACCATATTCTTGGTTAACAAAATATCTTACCCCTGTCTTTCTCTCTCTCTCTCTCTTTATATATATATATATATATATATATATATATATATAGGCGGGATCAAATGAAAACCGTCTAATTCTTATAAACCGTATAAACTAATTTCGACCAATATAAAAATTCATTTTTTTCTTAATTAAATTTAATTATTAATGGTAGATTTGTCATTTATATTGTTTTCTATTAAATATAAAAGTTATTAATAAATCTTAATTAAGGTAACATAATAAAGGAAATTTTATAAATAGTAATATNCATTTATATTGTTTTCTATTAAATATAAAAGTTATTAATAAATCTTAATTAAGGTAACATAATAAAGGAAATTTTATAAATAGTAATATTTAAATGTTTATTTAAATTAGAATTTTAAAAATTGAATAGTGTTATTTGGTTTCTCGGTTTATTAGTGGTAATAATATGAAAATCGAAAATTATTATATTCATTAATCCACGAAATCAGTAACAGATCCAAACAAAGATTCATGAACCGGTAAAAATATAATCAACTGTGAAAGAAATTCATGTTAGATTTGTTCATGAAAACGTTCATTGATGAGCTTGTTTTATGAAACTTTTGAGGATGAACTGGTTGCGTAATATAATATTCTTGCATAATCTTGTTTTCTTATCAACAATATTTGATGAAATTGTTTCATTTTTTTTGGATGATTTTGGTTACTTAATGGTTAACAAAGCATATAATGGTAAATGCATTGACTCTATGAAACATGTTCATATTAGAAGAAATCGGCTGATGAAATGGGTGCATGAAGAAATTGGCTGATGAAATTGGAATAATCTTGTTTGCTTAGCAATAATTATTGATGAAATTGTTTCATTTTTCAGAACGTGAAACCATTTCATAATTGTTAAGAAAATGTTGTGTAATTAGCGAACAGTGAAACTGTTTCATAATTAGATTGAAACGGATTCATATACCAATAACATGAAAATGAAAAATGTCTCATCTAGCATTACGTTGATTTGTGTATTAATAAAACTATAAAGCATGTTTGGATTGCAAAAACTTTGTCGATGAAATGGGTGCATAACGACAGAATAACGACAGAGAAACCATTTCATAATTGTTAAGAACATGTTGTTTAATTAGCAAACAGTGAAACCATTTCATAATTAGATTAATACGGATCCATCTACCGGAAACTTGAAAATGACAAATGTCTCATCTAGCATTACGTTGATTTGTGTATTGATGAAACTGTGAAACCATTTCGTTCATGAAATGTAGTAGTAAATTTATTTATTTATTATTATTAAAAAGGTTTCATTATGTTAAATTGATTATAGTGTGTTTTATTTTTATTGTTGATCTATTTTAATGATGGATGTTATTTTTTATAATATTTAAATATAAAATTAATATATTATTTTACAAATGATTTGTTTCATTAATATTACGATATATACATGATATGGTTGCCATTAATATTACCAATACCAAAGTTACCATTTTGCCCTTTTTGGGATTATAAAATAAATTTTTATTTTTTTTAATTTCCTAATATAACCTAGACTAATCTTGACCATTGATCAAGAAAATGGATGGATGAGATTAGTTTACATGGTTTACACAAATGAGGGTGGTTTTCATTTGATCGTTCATCTCTCTTTCTCTCTCTATATATATATATATTATTTGTGTAATTAGTCCGATGATTTAGATTTTTCAAAATTGAAATAAATCTATGGATTTTTAAAAATTTGATCGTTTTATGTGAACCCATTATAATGCACTCCCCAAATGGTCTGATTTATAAAAAAGATAATACAAGTTTTTAAAACACTTTTAAGTTTTGATTCTTATTATTTATAAAAATGAGTAAAACAGAAAGATTAAAAAAATTAAAAAAATTGACATGCATTATTGATTATACATATTTTAACACTTGTATTAATATAAAATATAAATATTTTATAAAATAATATAGATTTTCTAAAACTTATTTTCGGTGCACTCAACAACTAACATGGACCTTCTACTATTGGTGAATTCCCTACTATTTCCTCTTGTTAACATCGAAATCCTAAAGAAATTGATTGAAGTTGGAACATGTTTTGGACACATCTATGTCTTCACACATTTCTTCCACTAACAAAAAAAAGTACAAAGGAAAGCATCATGAGTTTTTTTTATATAGGAAAAGTTTAAGAAAATCGAATGCATTTTAGTATTGAGAATGATTAAGTCTTTGGATAATTTTTGGAACAAATAAGTCGTTGGATATTCCAAAACCTATTATATAACTCATTGGACTTTCTAAAACTTGTTATATATATCCTTATAACCTATAAAACTGGTTAATGTGGTAAAATAATAGAAAAAATCTGGAAAAAAAAAAACAAATGGATTTTCATATGGTTAAAAAACCAACAATCTATGATCCTTAATAAAAACCCTAATTGAAGAACCCAAATTCAAATCAAATACAAACCCTACAAATCTGAAACAAAGCCTTCAAAATCTAAAACTAATTCGATATGAATAGAGAGTATCTGAAATAAACCCAAATTCAACTTAAAGATTAACGATTTACACAAAAATGTCAATAAAGTTGAGGGTTGCATATATGGTTTTGGAGATTAACATGGTGAGAAATCAGACCAGCTATATTGGTGAAAGGGGGAGGGGGTTGTCGTACAAAAGAAGATGCTTGTTGATCCCAGATCTCTCAATTTAACACGAAGATTTAAGTATAATAACCTAAATCTGTCGCTTGGATGAAGAAAATGATGAACAACTTGAATGATATTCAAGAATGTATGAAACTTTCAATTGATTTCACTATATTAACAATAATGAGAATGTATCTACCTTTTACAAGACGTATGAATGCTATTTATACTAGCACTCTACTCTAAGAGATAACAATCTAGTACAAGATATCTATGAGATAAACTAGGAGAAGATATCTAAGAAAAAAATATGGAGGTTATCTCTGACTACCTAGAATAACAAAATTCATGCTGGCGATGAGTCATCTACAGCAATCTTCAGGTAGTGTGTCCAATCAGGATTCTTCATGTATCTGCTTGCTAGAGTATATCTGATCGAACTATGTTTCACACTTGAAGATTCTTCAGTTGCTGTAAAACCAGAGGGGTTATGGAAAGGCTAAGTTCATCGACTTGATGAACTCTCCATAAGATGATGATTATCAGGCTAAGTACTTTAGGTCTTCATAGCCCTTCTGGATCTTCGTTGCATCTCTGGTTTATCTTTAGCACTTAGAATCTTTTCACCTCTATCTTCTATCGGGTCTCCAGACTTCCATACTTAGTATATTTTTCATTACTTTTACATATGAGAGTGATGAGGTTTAACAATCTCCCCCTAAGTAATGAAAAAAATAAAAAAATAGCTATCTATGAATGACAAACAAATAACTATCTATGCACGATGAGGTATGCTAAAAGAAACATCATTTTTGTCAAAAGTTTTTCATTTTCATTGATAAGATTGTTTCATACCGTACAGAAGTAAAAAAGGGATAGAGAAATTACACGTCATTCATGGTCTCCATTGAAATTTTTCCAAAAATGCATCATCAGTCTTCTGTATCTTATGACTGTAGAGACCTCATGAATTAGCTTTGTTC